CCGTCGTCCATATCAATGGCCATTCTAGTGGTCTTCATAAAAGGTCTCACAAGAATCAATGGAGTGTCTTCATCTTCTTCCATATCAATCACCTCAAAGTCTATGGAAAACAAGAATTTGTCTACCTTAACCAATACATCTTCCGCTACACCGTGAGGACGAGTAGTGGATTAATCGACAAGTTGCAATGTCATTTGAGTATCCCTCAATTCCATGTGTCCCAACCTTTTCACAATGGAAAACGATATCAAATTGATACTAGAGTCCAAACTGATCAACCCATTGCCAACATAAATATTTCCTATTGTAATCAGAAAAGTGACTCGTCCCAAATCACCTTCTTTCCACGGAAGAGTCTGTTGAATAATAACACTACAACTAGCATCTACCATGATAGTTTCTTGATTCGTATACCTCTTCTTTTTGGTGAGAATGTCCTTCATGAATTTTGCGTAGTTTGGCATTTCCTCCAATGCTTCGGAAAATGGAATATTAATTTGCAATTTCTTAAAAATATCCATAAACCGAGCATATTGCCTCACACTATCTTTCTTTGATGGAGCATGAGGATATGACAAATTTTGAATTGGAATAATGCTCGTTGGTTCCTTCCCCTTCCTAGTATTTTTCAATTTTTCTTCTCTCACTCTCTTTTCTTCTTCCTCTCTCTTTTTGTTTTCAATTTCAACTAATTCTCCCTCAACATCTTTTTCTACTTTTTTCTCATCAATATCTTTTTCTTTTTCAACTACTCATTCTTTTTCAACTACTTCCTCACCTATGCCTATATCAATTTCTCTACTAATTCTTGTAAGAATAGCCTTGCAATGCTCATTGGGATTTGGTTGAGTGTTAGCGAGAAAGGACGGTCCTGGTTGTTGATTGGTCAATTGCTTTGCAAGTTGCCCAACTTGATTTTCAAGATTCTTTATAGCCGCATCGGTGTTATTTTGGTTGGACATTGACATTTTCATGAATTGAGTGAGGGTGTCTTCCATCTTTGAATTTCTACTTTGAGCTTGTGGAGGTTGAGTGTAGTTTGATATTGTTGATGACGATTTGAAGTTTCGGCATCTTGAGACCTCCATTATTGTTGATAACCTTGATTACCTCTTTGTTGGAAACCTTGGTTTCCTTGTTGGTAAGGTGGTCGAGGTTGATACCCTTGGTTTTGATTTCCTGTATAATTAACCTCTTCCACAATCGAAGGGCAATACCCGGTAGGATGATCTCCCTTACAAAGCTCACAACTCGCCACTTGTTTCTTGTTGGGAGTCTCGTACATTTCTTTAATTTGTTATGGAAGCTTTGACATTTATTGCGTCAACAACTCCACTTGTTGCGAAAGTAATTTGTTTTGCATAAGGATTGCATCATTAGTTCCCAATTATATCATTCTCGGTTTTCATTGAAGAGTCCCACAGTTGTGATTTCCTTGGTGATCATTCAATGTCATCTTATCAATGATTTCTAATGCATCTTCTGCACTCTTTTCCATTAACGATCCACCTGCGGTGGCGTCTAACAAAGTTTTATGAACAGATTGAAGCCCACTTCTAAAGATGCGCACTTGTGTTAATCCATCGAAACTGTGGCCTTTGCATTTTCGTAACATGGATTTGAACCTCTCACAAGCTTCATTGAGAGATTCATTTCCGCTTTGAGCGAATACCGCAATTTCTGTATTTTCTTCCATGAATCGATTGTATGGAAAAAATAGTTTAAGGAACTTTTCTTCTAACACATTCCATCTCATTATCACCAAAGTGGATTGATCAAGGTATCATTCCTTTGCCTTCCCCATTAAGGAATGAGGAAACAATCTCTTGAACAATGATTCTTCGTCAGCTTCCGGTGCTCCCGTTGCATCCGTAATCTCATAGAATTTTATGAGATGTGTGAACGGATCCCCATGATCCATACTAATAAAATAATTTTGGTATAAAAGCGCAAGAATTCTCGTTTTCATCTCCGAATTCCTACCGTTTTGGACATTGCGTGCAAACTGATCAGTGTTCCTCGGACTGTTGACACGTGGTGTTGAAGCAGATAGTGGTGGTGGTGTTGGTAGTGGATCTTCCATGATTAGCATAACAATTGGTGTGGATGAATAAAATTCTCCTTGCTCTTGTCTTTCTCTAGCAAGATGTCGTCCCTGCCTTGTTATGCTATTGAGTATACAAGCAGTTCTTTCAATCTCAGGATCAAAAAGAAGTTCTTCTACAGGTACACTCCCTCGCATAAACGGATTATGCACACTAGTCAAACAAATTAAAAAGCACAAGAGAATTACAGAGGTAAGAAATTCACAATACAAATATCTTAAAATCACTAAACTATTGCAATGCTTGCAATATCAAAAACAATCTCCGACAATGGCGCCATTCAATAGTTTAACGTTCTAAGTAAAGTGTTTTCAAATGATTTTGTGTTTTGTAACATAAGCCTGTAACAAAGAGTAAATTAGGATAAATATGTTTTGTTTTGAGAAAAACATGTCAAGATTAGATTTCGATAATTCTTTCCATACGTACCTGATTAATCAAGTATGCAAACTTAGTTTCGATTAATACAATCATGTATCTTCGCGAATCCGTTTATGTCTAAAGCGCCTATGTGAATATTATTGTTTTAATCGCTAGATGATTTCACAAATAACAATCGCAATAATAAACATAAAGATAAATACAAAGCGAATATTAACTTTCAAATCTATGTCTAGAGTTTGTTGGTTAGTAGATGAAGAAATTAGGTCAAGACTTGGGAAATCTATGTCTAGAGTGATTCAAACCATAAATACATTATTAAAAGAAAATATCTTAATCATCAATTAATCATAAACCTTGTTCACATATAATAGATCAAAAGAAATACATAAAAGCAAGACTAACTACCTCTAATCTTGACACAAAAGTGATTTAGCTACTCATAACTATGATAGCTTGCTTCACAAGTTTTGGGAGGAGATGAATGAACATCCACGTCGAAGAATCGAACTTGGATACGAATCCAGCTTCTATGTGGAAAAAACCCACTCTTTGGTGAAGAAAACTCTTAAAAATAGGTTTTGATGTGTAAAATGAAGTTATGATCCCAGGAAATGGTCAAAAGTACTTATAAAGTACAATCAGAATATGTCATGTTCGCACTGCGAATATCAAATTTGGCACCTGATGTGCCTCTGCACAGATAAACCGCCTCTGAGACAACTCTGAAATCCGTTGTGCGAATGATTATTCGCCCTGCGAACTACTTCGCCTACAAGTTCGCACAACGAAGTTATACCCCTTTAGCTACAACCTCAAATTTGGGATGCTTCGTTGGCTTTTCGCTGAAGCGTTGCCACAACGAACCTTCGCTGGCTTGTTCGCACTGCGAACTTAGATGCCTTTTGCTACTGCCTCAAATCTGGGAGCACTCGCTGGTTCTTCGCCAGCTATTCGCAAAGTGAATGTTCGCTACCATGTTCGCCCAACGAACTTTCTGATCTTTTTCTTTTCCTTTGACAACTTTGTTCACTTTCCTTGTTTCTTACACTTTGATGACTTAATATATATTTTCTGCACGATAGCACACAAATCAAAAGTATCAAAGATATTTTCAAGTAATTGAAAAATGACAACTTTCAAGTATCAATATCAACAAATCAACACAAAAGAGTTTGAAAAATGTCCAATATACATGACTAAATTAAGGTAAGATTGACATCTAACAACAGATGTTAAATAACCCAATTATTTTTAAATACTTTTATATCATCAAAATCAAAGAGATATCGTATTAACCAATTTTGTTTGAATTGTGTATAACTAACACAAATTTTTAAATGACTATATCAATAGTAAAAGAATAAAACGTATAAATTTATATTTTAAATGATGCACAAAAATAAGACTATATGACACTAGATGTCCAAATATTAATTTGGACTATGTTTAATATTTATAATATAGATATATTACAGACATATTTTTTCAGAATAATAATACTGTAATTGATATAAATTATTAATATTACAATGTATAATTTATACATATTTAATAATTTATACATATAAATTATTAAATATTTTTTGATGGAGAAAGGTTGGACAATTTTTTCATAATTAGTCTATAACACTTAAGTCTAATTTAGAAAAAAGAGGTAAAGCTGACTATAGAACGCCGGCGAAATGGACGAGTCCTTAACCTACTCCCTTCCATACATAATTGATTCTCTGTCCTTTTTATCACTTTCAGAAAAAAAAGCTTGATTTCTTCTTCCTTTGTTTTGTTTGAAAAAGAAGGAAGGATAGAATTCTCTCCTTGCTATATTTATTTATTTAGGATACGTAAAAAAAAATGAAAATATTAACTTTCTGGAGCCGACACTAAAAACTGTTTTTTTTTAATGTTATAGATAATGTTTTTGTCAGAGTTTCAAATTCGACTGCTGATTATTCTGTTTGGTAAATTTGTATAGAGTCACGTTTTGATTTTAATTCAGTCTTCTAGATATTGACTTCAGTTACTTCATAAATTTTTGCCATAAGGGTTAGATATTGAAATAAGTGTTAAAATAATAAACACTTATTTAATACATCCGCGAAACATTGTTACCGTATTGATCTGATTAATAGTATTTTTGATATATAATAAAAAATATTTATTAAAAGAATATTTATTTTTAAAATTATTTGGAAGTAAAACTAATGAGTGGGATGATTTTTTTTATAAATAAATCATATAGCCACCGTTAACATCAATTGACTAAACGTCATGCTCCTTATAAGCGAATTTGAGTTATATCAAAGTCAAAAGTTTAATTTAATAAATACTTATTATATTTCTCTTATATATCTTACAATTTTTTATTAGATTCTCTAAAAGAAAAATAAATAAGTTTGTCCTACATATAACAATTGTGTTCTTCTGCTCTTATAAAAGGGTACTAGAACCACAGTCTAAACCAAGTTCTTCTACTCTCTCTTCACTTCCAAGTTCCAATAGCTAAGAAATAAAATGGGTTCCAAACTTCCATTCCTATTTGTTTTTGTGATGCTCTTTGCTTTAACTTCAGCCACTCCAAACAAGAGAAAGCCATATAAACCATGCAAAAACCTAGTCCTCTATTTTCATGACATACTTTACACTGGAAACAATGCAGCAAATGCAACATCAGCCATAGTAGCAGCTCCAGAAGGTGCTAGTTTAACTAAATTGGCACCTCAGTCCCACTTTGGCAACATAATAGTTTTTGATGACCCTATCACATTAAACCATAGCCTTTATTCAAAACAAGTTGGAAGAGCACAAGGTTTTTATATTTATGATACCAAAAACACATACACTTCTTGGCTTAGTTTCACATTTGTTCTTAATACCACTCATCATCAAGGAACCATTACTTTTGCTGGTGCTGACCCCATTGTCGCCAAAACTAGAGATATCTCTGTCACTGGTGGTACTGGTGATTTCTTTATGCATAGAGGAATTGCTGCTGTTACCACTGATGCATTTGAAGGTGAAGCTTATTTCCGACTTGGTGTTGATATTAAGTTCTTTGAGTGTTGGTAACTATGAAATTAAGTACTAGTTGCTATAATAAAAGCAAATCAATTTGAAGTTAAATTTTTGTTTCCTTTTGAGTTTAAGTTTACCAAGTGGATCTGGATTGGATATATGTAATTCCTTTTATGTGTGTTTTTAATTAATTAGCCCATAAAGTATACTCTTTGTACTTCTATTATGAATAAATGAAGATTCTACCATTTACTTTCTTTTTAGAATAAGCATATCAGTTTTTCAAGTTAACTTGCCCACGAAGGTATCTGACACTCTCCTAAACTTAATGAAATTATTATATTATATTTTGTAAAATTTTCACTTACTTAAAAATTTAGTCAACATTTGTGCAAATTTTAAAAAATTCTGAGTGGTATCGAAATTTTTTATATATTTATTAAAAGGTTTAAAAACAGTGGGGTTTTTCTTTTTTTTCTTTTTTTAGAAATTTCAAAATTTTGTGAGAATCATTTGAATTTATATCGAATGTTTTAGAAATTCCGATATTTTTTTCAAAAATTTCAAAATTTTCGATATTTTCATAAGCATTCTTTTCGAAAATTTCTGAATTTTCAAAAATTCAAAAAATATGGATTTTCTCAGAAATTTTCAAATTTCCGATGAAATGTGGGAATTTTTCAGAATTTTAATAATAGTTTGGTTTTTTTTTCTTTTCATTTTTGCAGTACAGGGGAAATGATGACACCATTGTATGTTGGTTCACAGATAGAGCGGCAGTCTAGGAGTTTTCCCAATTACAGGATGGACGAGTAGTTCCAACTGATTCACACCGGAAACGGTTGGCTGAGGAAGGACAGTTTCGCATACCCCGTAGCACCCGACGCCGAACAGCCATATTAGACGAGCAACTCAGAGATGATGTTGAGGCTGTCAATGCTTAAGAGATGCAGGTTCAAGATGTTCATGACCTAACAGTCGAGATAAATGCGATACATGTTGCTGCTGAGGTGGTTGATAAGGTGGTTCAGCCAGATACCCCCGTTGAAGATGGAGCGGTCCAGCCAGATGCCCTTTGTTGCTGGTGAGGTGGCTGTCACAGATCCAGTCCCTTATGTTGCTTCTGATATAGAGGTTACGGCTCCTGCTTCGACGGAGTCGTCTGTACACACTGATTGAGAGTTCCCGAAAAGACTTATTGATCGATCGGTGCTTATCGAGTATGCTGACCATTAGGTAAACCAACTATGGCAAGGAGAGGTATATATATATATATATATATATATATATATATATATATATATATATATATATATATATATATATATATATATATATATATATATATATATATATATATATATATATATATATATATATATATATATATATATATATATATATATATATATATATATATATATATATATATATATATATATATATATATATATATATATATATATATATATATATATATATATATATTTTATGTTTAACTTTAATTTATTTTTTATTGTTCCATGATGTGTTGAAATCTAAATAATACAATTCTTTTAATTTGGTTGTTACAAGACCGTTTCCTTTCAAGGTGACATCCCACGGGTCGAAGATGAAGAACTTCCCCAAGAATCTAATGCTTGAGCAGGTCAGGCGAATTGTACATGATTTTGGTGTCCTCTCACTTGCCAACTGCTCCCTTACCATGCTCGACACTCCACTTCTTACTACTTTTATTGAGAAATTACACAAGAAGATATCTTCCTTTGATCTTCCATTTGAGGAGATTACTATCACTCTGGATGATGTATCCTCCTTAGTTCATCTCCTATCGTCAGTAGATTTTTTAAGACTCCTATAATTAGCAAGTCGCTTGCATGCATGGTGGACGTATGAGATTTGGGAGTTACTAAGAAGGTCCTGCTTGGGGAGTTTTAGTTTAACAGGGGAGCTGACCTTCGTATGTCTTGGCTTCAGGATAGGTATGATGAGCTTGTTGGGGGAACCCGTGTATGAGGTTGTCGCTTAAATGTACATGCTACATTTAGTAGCATGTACTCTGTTTGCAAATAAGTCTCATGTTTATATTAACACTCGGTACATGTGGCTGTTCAGTAGCCTTGAGTGTTAGAACACATATTGGTTCTTAAATATATCTCTATGTTTTGATGATAACACTAATGAAATTTTGTATGAAGTAAATATATACTCTAATTTTGTTCAAGTGTTTTTGTTTCAGATATTTAATATTCTTCTGAAAGCAAAAATGCATCTGAACGTTATTTCAACGCAAACATCTGAGCAACAGAAGCAACACAACGTCAGACTCTGAAGCGCACTGCAGAAGACTCTGGGCGCTGCTTGAAGAGACTCTGATCTGCTACAGTTGACTCTGAGCGAAACTGAGAAGTATTTGAGTAAAGAGTATAAAATAAAGTTTCAGAAGACTTTGGAAGTACTTTACGTTGCAAGTATAGAAGCTCTGATGAGTAAGTCTGCTCTGATCTGAATATTCACGTTGAAGCACTTTGCTGCAAACTCTGATGACATCAACGCTGATGTTCATACTCTGATAAGAGTAACTTTGATAAAGAAACTTTTTGAAGAAGATGTTGTTCAAATAAAGATCTATTGGCATATTGTCTTGTCCTTATCTGAACGACTCTTTCTTCATTCATGTATTGGCACAGGAAATCAGACAAAAGGGATTTGTCTGAACATTCCGCTTCTGGGAAAGAAAAGGCAAATAAGACAAAAGGCTACAAGCTACACAGCAGTACACGGTCTTTAAGCAATGGACTTCAAGTACTATAAAAGCAAGTCTTCAACACCTTTTCAAAGTTGACGAATCATTTGATAAATTATTCTAAGCAACTCAAACAATCATTCTTCTACGCTGAATAATTTTATTATTTGTTCTAAACTTGTGTAAAAATCACAGTTGTGATATAGCTTTTTAGAAGCATTCTTTAAACACACTTTGTATATTTTACAGTTTGTAAAAGTTCCTTAAGAAGACCAGGTTGTTGGTCAGAATTTCTTGAGAAGACTAAGACTATTTGTCTTAGTGGTTGACACTGTAATCAGTTTGATTTAGTGGATTAAGTCCTTGTTGAGAATGGAAAATCACCTTGGTAGGGTGGACTGGATTAGTTTGAGTTCAAACGAACCAGGATAAAAATACTGTGTTATTTTTCTATTGTCATAATTGTTTTAAAACCCTTATTCAACCCCCCTTTCTAAGTGTTTTTCCCACCTTCAGTTGGTATCAGAGCTCCGGCTCTGAAGTTCTTTTCACTTAACAGTGACAGAGAAGATCCAGTTGGGAAAACTCTTGATATATTATCTTTGATTCATTATCTTTGATATAATATTATGGCTGAACAAGTGGTAAACAACAAGTATGACGATAAGGATAGGATCAACACCAAACCTCCCATGTTTGATGGTGAGAAGTTTGATTACTGGAAAGATAGAATAGAAAGTTTCTTTCTATGCTATGATGCTGACCTATGGGACTTAGTCATTGATGGTTACATTCACCCCACTGATGGGGCTGGCAAAAAGATTGACAGAAAGTCAATGACTGATGCACAGAAGAGAGACTTCAGAAATCATCATAAAGCTTGAACCTGTTAGAACACAGATTGGTTCTTAATATTATCTCTATGTTTTGATGATAACTAATATGAAATTTTGTATTTAAGAATTATATACTCTAAAATTTGCTTGAGAGTTTTTACTGCAGATAGTAAAGAATTTAACACTCCAGAAGCAAATCAAAATTGAATACAAGAAATTAGCTAGACTCTGTAGCGCCAGATGCACATATTAGAAGATTCTGATTGCTGCCAACAGAAGATTCTGAGCGTAGCCTCCAGAAGGATGTGAAGCAGAAGCTCCAGAAGAATCTGAAGCAAGTCAGAAGAATCTGAAGCAAGTCAGAAGCATCTGAAGCAAAGAAGAATGTTGTATGAAGAGTTTCTCAAAGCATAGTTTCTACAGAAGATTCTGAAAGCACTTAAGCTGCCAGTGCTGAAGCTCTGTGTCAAATATGCTCTGATCTTTAACACGCTAAAAGCACACCTGCTGCAGAAGACTCTGATTCAACAAAACTCTGATAATCATCAGAAGACTCTGACCCAGTAAGGCTCTGATAAATTTGTTGAAAGCTGAAGAAGAAATATTCAAAGATTATATCTGTTGGAGTAAATCAAACGTCTCTTTCCTCATTTATGCTAGACACAAGAACACAGACAAAAAGGATTTTTCTGTGCTTTCTTCTTCTAGGAAAGGTCACTTGATGTGAAGACAAAAAGGCTCAGACCTTTTGGACACTCTTCTCAACGTGTAGCTCTCCTTGGATCAGGTGCCTATAAAAGCAAGACTCCACCAAATTCTTTAGTTGACGATTCATTGAAAAGAAATCAAACATTCAAAGCTCTCATAATTTCATATTCATTCTAAGAATTCATTTCTTTGTTCTAAATAGTTTAAGTGAAATATCACAGTTGTGATAAAGCTTTTTAGAAGTAATCTTTAAACACTTGTATTCATTCTACATTTGATTGTATTCCTTAAGAAGATCCAGTTTGGATCAGTAGTTCTTGAGAAGACTTTGAACAGTTGTTCTAAGTGGTGTTGCACCCCAAAATTTGCCTCTTTCAAGGCTTGACTCATTTCTCCATTTCTTTCAAATTCAATGACATAAAGGAAATCCATCATGAATTCAAGATTAAAGGCAAGAATATTATAAAGAGAAGTTTGTGACGTTACAAGAATGTCATTTGTTGCAAGATTTTCAACTCTAAGTAATGTTTAGAAATTAATGTATTTCTAATCTTCATTCAAGTCTCTAATCCAATTCATGTTATGGAAATTCCACACCAAGTCCACATTATATCCAAGAAATATCTAAGAATTAAATCAACATTGGAAAATGTCAAGATCAAGACTATGTTTGCTTAGCCATGGGCAATGTGAATATTATGCAAAACAGCCCCATGCAAGAGATGACCATATGTGCCATGTTACAAAATTATTTTTATGTCATA